AGAGTTAAGAATCTGTTCTGTTGATGCACGTTTCCAACACAATCTGTTCTGCTGATTAGACATATCTATACATGGCTCTCTCAGGCAAAAACATGATACAAGACACAAACATGCTGCAAGAACCAAAAACTAAGAGAAAAAGGGACCGGATCCTTATTTCTAATTCACCAAAACATACAACAATATTACATTCACGCCATTTCTATTGCAATTTCAGCATACCAAGATAATATGAAGTTAAAAGGAGGGGAGAAAAAGAAGCTAATTCAAGGTTCACATTGGCATGGTGCATTTCTTTTGAGAATGTCCTAACAAATGACATCTACCACACTGAACAACTCTCTTTGGGCGCTTCAAGTTCTCTACACGAAGAACCTTCTTTTTTGGTCTACCTGGTGGCCGGCGAGTTTTGGGAGCACGTATAATAACCTCAAGTTTGGCGCCTCCACCTTCAGTTCCTTCACCTTGCTCTTTCCACAGGCTCTTATCTGGAATAGGATTTATCATCTGTGAATAAGTCTCCCGGTAGTTTGCCACGGTGAAACATGGTTCAGCAAAGACCTGAGCATTCTGCCCACAAGAAATTAGTGCAGCCGCAGCATGTGCACAGGGTAAACCATAGAGCTGCCACCGGCGGCATGAGCAGACACGACTTCGAATATCCACAATATTTGTCCGCTCGGTTGACACAATCTCAAACTCGACTTCATTAGCACGGAGTACTTGATAGCAGCGAGCATCAGTAATTGCCTCTGAAATCCGCTTCTCAGCAGATGGTACAAGAATTGAGGTCCATCTCATCCCCATATCACGCCGAGCATTAAACCAAGTTGCTAATTGATAGCGAATATGTTCCATCATTTGCACAATTGGGAGCTCATGACATTCAAGAGCCCAATTATACAACAACTCTGTGACACCGAGAGTAAAATGGCCATATCGCACTCCCTCAAAATATGCCACAGCCCAAAGCTGGGGAGGATAGAGTTGAAACCACTGTATGACTTCAGCTGAGATCTCAACCATCTCAGCAATCTTGGATTCAAATTCAGCAGCAGTGAGGGCATACACAGCATTCCAGAATATATTAACCAGCTTTGTGTTCTTAAATGTATCACGGAAATTTTCACTTACATGACGCAGGCAAAAGCCATGAAAAGCACTTGGAAAATGTGTTTCTACTGCCTCTACAATGCCTCTTTGTCTTTCAGACAGTATTGTGAGTCTAGGCATGTTGTCAGTATTCACCCCAAGAAGCTTCCTTAATTCTGACATGAACCACATCCAATTCTCATCACTTTCTGCATCTACAATAGCAATTGCCAAAGGAAACAAGGCATCATCAGCATCAATGGCTGCAGCACAAAGTAACGCACCCAAGTATTTTCCTTTTAGATGTGCTCTATCAAGTTCCAAAAGTGGCCTGCACGCATTTATGAAGCCATAGATAGATGCTCGGTAAGAGATAAAAAGGCGCTGGAAACAATTATCTTGTCCAGTGGCAAAAACTGATGCAATGCTTCCAGGGTTAGTTTTCCTTATTTGTTCACAATATCCAGGAAGAAGGCGGTAGCCTTCTTCAAAAGTCCCATGAAGTGCAGCCATGCTACGCTCCTTTCCACGCCAGGCTTGCATATAAGAAACTGCAACTCCATGCTGATCACGTATATCTTGCAGGATTTCCTTTGGTTTGTACTGTGGATTATCCCGAACACGTGCCTCTACAGATCTTGCAACCCACCCCACAGATGCTTGCTGATGATGGAGGTTGCGAACACCTTCACAAGTATGCTCCCCATGCAAGGTTCTAATCGAAAACATTGGACCTCCAGGACATTTTGCAACATGGACACGCCATGGACAGCCTTCTTTGGAGCACTTGGCTATAAATCTGCTGCGATCTGATTTCACTATCCGAAGATCAAAATGTAATGCTATAGCAATGTCTTTCAAAGTTCTTCTGCAGGTTTCAACATCAGGAAACTGTTGCCCAACAGCTAATGCAGTTTCTGCCTGCTCAACGACTACTGTGGTTTCTGCCAAAGCCTGAGAAGTATCGGGTACAACTAAAGCATGATCAGCCATTGATGCTAGAAACTAAGAAACAGTTTCCCGTTGTTCAAAGGGTTTCCCTCATGTTTTATACAGATCAGAAAACGTTCCTCAAATAAATACTTCAAAAGCAGCCACTGCACAGAAGCTCCAGTCTGGTATAGATACTGCACCACACAAACCAAAAAAAAAGAAAAAGGTGATAAAAGAGGAATAGGGTATGAAAGAAAACTAAGGGAATAAAATAAAAATAACTATATGAGTGGGATTTAATCAATATTAAAATGGAAATAAATAGAACATCATTCTAAGCATAATCCTTTATAAGCCTCCAGTGAGAAGGAATTGATATATTATCCAAAGTACTGGAAAAAAAGCACATCTAGGAGAAACAGGAAAGCCCAATGAGGTTCATTATAAGGCCAACATTTTTAAATTTAACTTCAAAACTATTTGCTAGAAAATGGATGAAAAGAAAAAACTGAAACTTTATTGACAACAATAAAACACAACTGAGTCTCTTATGCTGGTACTGCATCAATTGACTTCCATAATCATGCCACTGAGGTCCATTCAAACATGATAACCATAAATCTGAGAAAAGTGCACGGTAGGGATGAGTTTAGATTAAGTTGGAACTGAACTAGAGGTGCACTATTTGGCTAAAAAAGAACTAGAGGTGCATTAATACAGATATTTTAAAACTGAAATCAGAAGGCCCAAAAGGGAAAGTAATGGCTTAAAAGACTAATGGTGCTCGTTCATGAGATAAGTTTTTTGGGTTGGTAGTCTCTCATAAGGGTCAAGAAACAGGCCAATTAGGATTCACCTAACTTGTTTGTTTTTCTACTTTCTGTACTTTATGATGTTTGCCTCTAGTTACTATTTTATCTACCATCTTTGCAGTCAGATGGGATTCCTCCTCTCCTTTCTAAGGCACCTGACTTCACCAAACCCCAGCAATTCTAAAACCAATCTTTAGAAAACACACCTACCACAAGATTTCAGTGATCTGCCTTCTTACTTTGACTACTTCTTTCTCAAAATCACAAACAGTTGAATTCTGAACAAACCCTGAATCAAAATCTGCCTTTCTCAACAAAATTTAATTAAGATTAGCCTTAGACCTCCATTAAAACTACTCAAAAAGTTTAGCTGGTTTTCCTATATTGTCAGCAGAACAGTACAGGCTCTCTAAGTTCATTGGTCATGAAATGACATGGAACAAGAGATTAACATGCCAAGCAAGGATGAGTATGTCAATTTCTTGACATAAAGAGAAAAACCCATATAACACTGTATCTCCAGTAATCCTTCCCTAACAGAAAATACTGTGAAGATGTCCTATACTTACCCCAAAGCATAACCAAAAGAAGCATATGGTTCTTCCCTTGCTCAAAAAGGCAATTCGCCAAATAATGAGCAGCATAAGAGACATTAAAATCAAAACTAATCCAATTCTACAGGAGACCATTCTTCAAAAAGAAAAAAGACCAACTCAGCTCCATCCCACCTTAAAACCCTTAACCATGTCAACAAAAATTGAACTCATTTCTTCTTAATTTCCAACAAGCAGGGCAATGATAGTTATCCCAATACACGGAATGGGAGATAAATGTAGCAAAAAAAATACCTGACGAGAATTTACAGCCACTCTCTGCTTCCCAAGCACTGGAAGATTCCAACAGATTGAGACTCACAGCTCTAGCAGCAAAGCACAGAAATTTCCAGCAGCAGTGAAATGGATCGGACTATTCCGGTACTGGGTACAATCAGCAAGCTCATTCCAGTCGCCGTTGCTCCAGATTTCACCCAATTTCCTAACAAACCTCGAATACCCTTCACCGATAAGCCTCCAAAACTCAAGAAAACCGTCAAGATTGGGTGCAAAATGGGCGGCGTATGGCAGCTTAGGGTTTTTTTTTTTTCGATAAAAACTAAGTAGACGAAGAAGAAGCAGAGAGAAAAACAAAACGGAAGTCTTTTCTTTGAAGGGGTTTTCTTTATCTAATTTTATAATCAGTAAATTTCCCCACTCCCCCTCAGCCCAGTCTTTTTGCTTCTTTACTCTTTTCTCTTTGACCTCAGTGGCCGAAGCTCTCCTTCTTCCTCCTCCGCCGTCAATGGCTCGTATTCTACTCCTCCGTCCGCCACCCACTCCGGCTGAAGAAAGATTGGATACAGGCGTCGACGATGCTTATGGATTTGGTGGCCCTTTTTCCGCTTTCTTTATATTTTCAGCAAATTTCGAATATTTTTAATAAAAATAAATGAAATGGATAGAAGAAATTAAATTTTAAATTTCAGCAAAGATTATTGAAATCCGGTGGTGGTGGCCCATAGGGTTCACTTTGTTTTCACAATTTTTATTTCTTGAAAAAAATGTCTTTGGGGAAGATCCAAAAAAGAAAAAATCATTAGAATTTAAAGTTTGTATTTTTAGGGTTTATGAACTTATAATATGAATTATTTTTGTACAATTAATTCTTTTTATTTGAAAATTCACTTATGATATTTATATGTATGAATTTATTTAATGATATGTCATACTTGTTTAATGTTTTATAAGATTATAATAATATTATAATTATAGTGTTACTGTTTTTGAATATATTATAATAAATTTTAGATTTTTCATTATTTGGGTGAATTAGGATTTTGTAGGGCATTTTAGTAAGAAATTTAGGGCAATTTTGTTAGTGATTTTATGGAGTATAATTTTTAATTATTCATGAGAGATGAATAATTATTCCTAAATAAGAAAAATAATTTTTAGGCAATATTTATCTTGCAACCCATAAAATAAATATAATATAGTGCAATTCTTATTCCTTCCTTTAAATTAGGTGTAACATGCTAATCGAGATGCATTCACTTATTTGATATTATGTGATATTATAGAATTTATAATAAATTTTTATTGTAGAAAAATTATAAAAAAATTATAAAGAGCATTGCTAACACTTAAGATAGATGATTATCACCTTTAGCTATATGTTTTGCTTGTTTAATTATCTGTACTTTTAATCACAAATCTAAAATTCAATTCTTAATTTCTACATATTAAAAAGATAGATGATTACCAATATTTGCCTTAAAATATTGACCCACCTTCATGAATGGGTCAATTCAAATGATGGTTTTAATTACTTACCTACTTTTAAATTGCCATATAAGTCAAACTTGAATTGATTTAAATTCAATTTGGAAAACAAATTAATCGAACAATGAAGCTTGTTTTCAAGTATATAAATCGATCTTTATCACAATAATCATCTACATAATTCCCATTTGTGATACATAAGAGACAATTTATATTGAAACATGCATAGGAAAATACTTGCTCCTAGCCAAGTTTTATTTTATGGGGTTCCAAGGATGTTAAACACCTTCTTCAGCCTCAGGAAGGCCATAGGCTGAAAGTACATACACAGAAATACATGATATAAATATTTATCACATCATAAGTAGCTCTCTAACTCCCTAACTTGCATGCACATCTTTCCAGTTGGGATCAATTCTTCTGAGAAGGTGGAACATCTTGGAATTCTTTGGATGCGAGTGCAATGTCATCCTGGCTGATCTTCCCCATCTCTTTAAGCTTCTGGAGAATGGAATCCGTGGCCCTACAAACAGGAATAATCAAGATTGAAACTTTGATACTGTGTTAAGAACTGATTTTATTGGAAGAAAATCCGGATTGGAATCCTGATACAATGTCAGAAACAGTTTTTAATGATAAAATTTGATGGAATCAACAGTGCTGTAGATAGGAATAACTATGGTTTGGACTCTGATACCGTGTTAAGAACAATTGATCTACTTACCCGGTTAGCTTTTCCTTGTTGCCAATATGATCAGCTGCCTCCAGGTCAATGTTTGTGATCCTCCTGGAAAGGACTAACTTGACTACTTCAATCTGCTGGCCTTCTACATACGCCTCTGCAAGGTAGAGCAACAGCTGGCCTAAAGAGGTAGTTCCAGAGGATATCCAGGCAATCCCAAAAAGGCGGCCAAGGGCAGTTGAGAAGCTTTCATCTCCATAACCAACGGTGGTCATGGTGGTGGAGGTACAGTAGACTGCATCCAGGAAATCCATTTTCTCTATGCCCATCAGCATAAAGATACCAATAAACATGTGTGCCAACATCACTGCTGCTGATATATAACACTTCTTGTAACTTATCTTGGTGGTTTCAATCTGCTTCAGGGCATCAACAGGGCCAATTTTCTGGGACAGGTGGAGGGCTCGAATCAGCATATCCTCCTGCTTCTCCACCAGGTAGCTTGCTGCTAGCTTCACCACCACTCCCACCAGATACATCCCTACCGTGGCAAAGACACTACATACAGTCTTTGCGAGGAAGCTATCAGGGTCAAGGTCTCCGTATCCAACTGTGGTCATTGTTTGAACACACAAGTAGAGAGAGTCAATCAAATCATTTGTTTTTTTCCCTTTGATTTCGTCCTCCAGACAGTAGAAGATTGCAGTGCCCAGACTAAGGTAAACACCAAAGTATATGCCTAGCTTGGAAAGGATTGGGGGAATGCTCAATCTTATCTCTGTAGGAACATAAGCTAGGACCTTATGGAATCGTCTTTTCTTGTGAGTGTCTTCTTCATTTTTTGGGGTTGCAGAGGCTGCTAGAGGCAATGTAGATTCCTTTGCAGCACTGCTCGCCATTGCGTGACAATTGTTTGTTTGGTGAAGGTGTGTTGGCTGGTACCAGTAATACCTGAAATGCATTATGGACAGAGAAGTTAATTATAAACATAACATCATAGAATGAATTATTCTTTTAAAGGTTTAATATGTAAGAAATTGAAATATACCAATATGGGGGTTGTTGAAATACAGAGGAATGATTCTATTTATAGTCTCATGAAAGTTGTTGTTCAGACAAAAGAGGACTTACCAGGTGGAGTATAAGTTTGCAATACAATTTAAATGCTTTTAAGTGAAGTGTTTTCCGCTTGCAAACACCTTGGAAAATTCCTGGAAGATCCAACTTCTTGTCCTCTTCTCTTCACATTGTCCAGTCCATTATCTGAAACAATGTGGGAAATTTCACAGATAAATCCAGACATCTGTTGACTGATATCAGATTGCTAGAAGTTACTTCTTAACACATTACATAGTAGAGGATTAGAGGAGTAATGAAGTTACTAATGGTTCCTGCACAAGTGTGATTTTAAGTTTGGAACTTGCATTAACAAAATTATTAGAAGAGTTCATATGTTTCCATCGAATTAGTCGTATATATTACATTTGCATAACATTTTTATTTGTTATTTTAATTTTACCCCAACAGGAAAGGAGAAGGCTTGTTGATGAATTTGTAAGTTATATTTACTGTTTCCAAATGCATCTTCTTCAGTCTCTTGATTCACAGGCTATACGATACGGATGCTCCATTACACTGATAAGGACAGATACATGTAGCTGAATATGGCCTGTTTTGATCTCCTTCCTCTATGAGATAAAAAATGGCTAAATTTTCTGGAGAAGATGAGGATTCATGGTGGTGAGTACTACAAGGTGGAAGGTTCCTCTCCGTTTTAGTGGAAGATAGTTAGAAGAACAGGGTTTGGTATATGACTGAGAAATGAGTGTTTTTTTTTATCAGCAAGAACTGAATGTACCCACATGATCTTGAAAGCAACTTACACCCTTCGACCAAAAGAGCTATTTTCTTTTCCTTTATGGGTTAAATAAACAGATTGTACGAGGGGAAGTACCCTTTGCCCCCTCTCCAAATCCCCTGTCCCTGGAGAATTAATATCGTCCTCAAAAGACCTTGGCAATTCTCTTTCTGAGATTCTACTTCAGATGTAATGAGGTAAGTTTTCACATTCTAAGAGAGAGGCTTCACAAAGTAATGGAAAGTTTAAAGCTTGGCAACTTTATACATTATGCAAGAGATTTATTACATTTACATGTCAAAAAATTGTCAAATATAAGCAAAGGAAACAGCATACATATATAGATGGATCAGATGATACTAAAAGTTGGTAAGCAGCTCACATATGAATTCTCAATGTCCTTCTGGTGCAAGCTTTTGAGTATATATAATCTCTCACGGTCTCATCTCTATGTCTCAGTTGATTGACCAAGAATTAAATCAGAAGCTGACAAGGTTCCCGACTGATCAACGTCTAAATCCTCAAACTCTTCCATTACAAGGGAAATATCCTCTTGGCTAATCTTTCCCATCTCTTTAAGCTTATATATGATGAACTCAGCAGCACTATAGAAACAAAAGAATGAAAATTAAACTATTAGTACCCTGAACCAAAAAGATTATAGACATGCAGAAACCCCTTCTTTTTTTCTTTTTTTCTTTTTTTTTCTTTTTTATGGGCATGAAGAAACTATTAATTAACAGTAAATTATAGTTTTAATTCAACTCACTCAACAACTCCATCCTCATTAAGATCGGCTGCCTCCAAATCTACATTTGTCATCTTTCGAGTAAGAACCCATTTAACTAGTGCTCTTCGTCTGTTCTCTGTGTTTAGCTCAGCCATGTAGAGAAAAAACTGAGCTACACAAACAGTACCAGCCAATATCCAAAATCCAGCAAAAATACGGCCTACTTCAGTTGAGAAGCTCTGATCTCCATACCCAAGGGTTGTGATTGTTGAACAAACACAGTAGAATGCATCAACTGGATCTAGTTTCTCAACTGTGGCTAGGAAGATAGTCCCGGATGATATAAGCACAACAAGAAGGAAGGAGACTGTGTAAAGCTTGTATCTTACTCTGTGGGTTTCAGCCTCCTTTATTATCTCTGTTTGTCCAACTCTTTTATGCTTATGCAAGGCTTTAACCAGCATAGTTTCTTGCTTTTCTACTAAATAGTCTGCTGCTTTGCTCAGAACAAGTCCAACTAAAGCCATTCCCATGAAGACAAAAGAGCAGGCCAGTAGTTTAGCAAGGACACTATTGGGAACGAGGTCTCCATATCCTACAGTTGTCATTGTCACAACACAGAAGTATGCAGCATCGAGAATTCCATTTGTTTTCTTTCCTGATATCTGGTTACGAACAATGTAAAAGCATAGTGTACCTACACCTAAGTAGACAGTCAAGAATATGGCTACCTTCCTGAAACTTGGATGCAGGTTACCAAAAATGGATGGAGAACGTGGAAGTGGAGCATCACCATTAATATCTTTAGGAACAAATTCTGCCAGAGGAGCACTTCTTACTCGGCGAATTCTTCTCCTGTTGGGACCACATCTATTACTATTATTATTAGCAGGTGTACAATCTGCTACTCTAGTTAGCAAAGGCTCTCTTGCACCATTGCAGGCCATCAGGATGATTCAGTAGACAGCCATACCACAAGCCCTGCAATAATCAGAAGCTATGATTTCTAAAATCAATCATGTTTGGAAAATGGGTTTTTTAACAATTCCATGTTTTAGCTCTTTTACTAACAAACTAACTACCATCAGATATCAAGTTTCATATTATGTAATTAGTCCTTTGTCTAAACAACCTCAGATACAAAAAAAAAAGCTTTAGCCAATAACAAGTTCCTGCCATCATAGCTTCATCTAAAAATTAGTGAACATGTTTACTTTTTTATTTTTCTTTTAACATATTACAATTTTGGAGGAGGGGGATTCAAATCCCAGCCCTAGTGTTGGGGGTGCACCTTACGAGGCATATAGCCATCGGGTCATGAAGCCCAGGTGCATGAACATGTTTACTTCTGGTGCTTCCTTCTCTTGTGATTTATCTTCCAAACAAAAGCCAAAACATAATGAGATGATCTCTGGCCAGATCTTGGTCTAATTTGCAATTAAAAGTGAAAAAAGATGGAAACTTCGTTAAAATCACAACTGAAAAGGACAAACTAGAGAATTGACAAATAATCTGTACAGAAATGCCCCGTCCAGCAAGATTCTCATATGATAATCAAGAATAACACATGCAAGATTCTTGACTAAATCAACACAACACAAATGGGATTCCATAGAAGTTGGATCTTAAGTCCATAGTTTAGAATCTTTAACTAAAAACTAGTTTGCAGAAGTAGTGGATTTTCTACCAAAGGAAGTAACTTTTTCAATTGATTTACAACATTAAATACAAAACATAAAAATTACAAGTGATCAAACACTCTTGACTGAAAATCAAGAAAAGAAACAGTAGTATTTGGATCGTAATCAAGCAAAGAAATTGCAACCAAAGAAGGGTGTTCCCAGAAGAAACAGAACTGACAATGAAGAAGGGAAAGGAGGAGAAGAGACTAACCTTAATAGAGAAAAAGGGAAACTGGGTTGGATCCAAGGAAATTGGTGTGGAGAGGAAATCAGAGAGTAAAACTGTGTAGAAGTTGTTGGAAGATCCAAGTCGTTGCCTGATTGGCGGTGTTGTTTTGTCCTTATACGACCTCTATGTTTTCCTACGTAATATTGAATAATGATTTTAAGGAAACGGGCAACACCTGTTCTCAACTAAAAGCGACTCGGACCAACGGTTCAGTTTTTATTTTTTATTTTATTTTTTTAATAATGTTTTGAGAGGAGTCTTATGTATAAATAGAGGAATAAATGTTAAGAAATTTTTTTTTATGAGATTTGATATTATTTAATTTTTAATTAATTAAAATTTAATATGATTATTAATATTAATAAATTTGAATTTCTTTGAATAAATAAAGTTTTTTTTTAGAATGACTCATTTCGATTCAATGGTATTAGATCTTGGATTAAAATTGTTCACTTCCGATGGATTGCACATTCGAGTCTCACGAAAACTCTTTTCTCTTCTCCCAATTAACCATGTAAATAATTACAAATTGTTAAAAAAAAATAAAACTTTTTTTTAAGGCTCAACTCAATTAAATAAAATTTAATATAATTTTTAATATTAATTTTAAAGAAATAAATTAATACAAATTTAATGAAAATTTTAAATATCAAAATGTTAATTTAAAAAAAAAAAAAAGGGAGAAAAGGATTCGGCTTAAAAAAATGTGGACGGGCAAAAGCAATGAAGTGGAATGCGGAGAGGAAGATTTTTTTTTTTT